GAACCCCGATTGCTCTTTGGGCTGATGAAGGAGGGGGACTTGATTGGGGGAGGGGGAGGGAAAGGGGAGGCGGAGGTGGGGAAGAGACAAATTTTTAATAAATTAAAAAAAAATTGGCAAGACAACTACAGCTTGAGATAAGCCCACATAGGAGAGACAGGCTAAGACTAGTGACGGGAAACCTCTTTGAGGTAAGGCCTGAGGCTGAGAACAAACAAAACAAGACCCTCCGCTATGTGAGGAACTCAGAGAAAAGCATTCCGAGCTGATTGCACAGTGGCAAAGTCTCAGGGGCAGGAAAGGGTCAGCAGAGGAAAAGAAGGGAGGTTGCGGGGCTCAAGTGGAGCACATCATGGCTGTACCCCACCCCAAGTTACTCTGTGAATTCATCCTTGTTAACCATCCCCAAATGGTTAAATCTCTTTAAATCCTAAGGAGGCGAAGATTCCTTCTGTGGCAGACAAGGAACAAGGTATAAACTGCATTCAGTTTTTTAGAGCAGACTTTTGTGACCGGTGACTTATTCCTGGACATTTGTTACCGGTAAGTTTCCTGGGGAGGGGACTGCTGTGTGAGGTAATCAGGCACCTGATGGGGCGCCAAGCCAAAGCCAGCACCCCACTTAGGGAGCTGGTGCATTGTTTTTTAAATCTTTCTAAAAAGGCGTTCCCTATTTAGCCCAGGCTGGCCTTGAACTCTGATCCTTGAGGTTTTACCCACTTCCCGTCTCTCTTGGCTTCCTGTCTACAGGTGCAATGTAATCGGATACCCTACCCTCCTACCAGCCATGTCTTCCCTGCATTGATGGGCTCTACTTAGTCTGTCAGCCAAAATAAGTCCTCCAGGCCTTCAGCTGAGTCTTTTATGGCATTTGATATAGCAGGAGGAAAAGCAGTTGATACACTGTGCCTAACTGTCTGCTTTGACACCCTCTGCTGATAGAGCCTCATGGCTGGAACACGATTCTCCTCTCTTAGGCTCATGTAGCCTCTTGAAATCGAGGAGCTGGCATCCAGGGCTCCTGGCTGCTGCCCCACACCAGTGTCTCTAGCCCTGTTTTGAATTGAGTTTCTTTATACACAGTCATACCCTGTAAGATGGGGTTCTCAACCTGGGGGGTGGTGTTGTGATCCCTTGGGGGGGGTCTGATATCAGATATCCTGCACGTCTGATATTTATATTACGATTCCTAACAGTAGCAAAATTATAGTTACGAAGTAGCAGTGAAATAATTTTCTGGTTGGGGGTCACCACAACGTGAGGATGTATATTAAAGGATCGCGGCATTAGGAAGGCTGAGACCACTGTTAGGCTTTCTGTGACGTCACAGCTTAAGCCCCTCTGATGGCTGTTTGTGGTTAGCATCTTGACACACTTGGGAAGAGGGACCTCACAGGAAGAACTGTTGCCATCAGATTGGCCCATGGGCACGTCTATGGGGGCATTTTCTCAACTGCTAAGTGACAGAGGAGGGCCAGCCCCATTGTGGGCGGTGTCGTCCTGTAACTGGTGGTCCAGGCTTGTATAAGAAAGCTAGCTGAGCAGAAGGGCGCGAGCCAGTCAGCATCCTTCCTCTGTGTTCTCTGCTCAGTTTCTGCCCCCGGGTTCCTGCCTTGACTTTCTGCTTTGGCCTCCCTTGAAGACAGGCTATAATCTGGAATCCCCAAATTGTTTTTAGTGTTTATCCAGCAGCAGAGAAGCAAATGAGAACAAGACCTAAACCTTTACTAGCCCTTCTCCTGTGCAGACCCCCTTCCCTGTCTTCCAGCCACACTGACCTCCCTTTGGCTCCTTGGTAGCCGCATTTCCTCACACCATGTGACCTTCCAGAGTCCTCTGCACTTCTACACCTCTGCTCGATAGCCTTTCAGATCCCAGCTCATGCCAGCATCCCCTGCAGCACTTGTGCCGTGTGCTGTACCGCTGACTCAGGAGAGATTGAGATCCACACCTCCATCTACGGCCTCTCGTGCTCAGGGAACTATGAGCCCCAGCTCTGCTGGAGTCCCGGGTTTGGCATGCTTCCTGGCCGCAGGAAGTGCCCACAAGTGAGCTGCACGAACTCAACATGGTCATTTCCAGCACTCATAAACCTACCACAGCCTCCACTTCAGTTCTTCCTCCTGCCTCCTTTCCTCTTCTTCCCTCCTCCCTCCTTCTCTTCCGTCCTTCCCTCCTGAGCCTTGGGCCTTTTTAGTATTCTCAAGAGCAACCCTTAAGACAACAGAAAGGCACAGAGAGTAGAAATCTCAATGTCACTCTTACTTGGCGCGGTGTGTTGAGCCTCACCTAGATCCTCTCAAGGTCAGAGGCAGCACTAGGAACATGGCTTCCTGCAGTGTGACTTGGCCAGGGCTGCTGGGTAGAGTCCACTGAATGGGTGAGGAAACAACGGAAAGGTGTTTTCAGGTTGGTTCCTCTGAGGGCTATGGGAGAGACTCTGCTCCAAGCCTCTCTCTTTTGAAGCTATGTCTCCTCATACCCTCCTGCCTCTGTATATGTCTCTCTGTGTAAATTTCTCTTCTTTATAAGGACACCAGTCATTTCAACAACCTCATGGTAACTTGGATATCACTGAGAAGACCCTAGTTCTAAATAGGGTCGCATTCTGAGGTTCCAGGGGTTGGGATGATTTCAGCAGTGAACTTAACCCATGACGCCTGCTTCCACACACCCATTTTCTCACCCTTCTAACTTATTGAACGCAACAAGGATAGAGGGGTGTTGACGGAGGCCAGTCATTCATTCCTGGCTGCTCAGACTCAAAATTACCACACAGAAACCATAGTAATTGCAATACTGTTTGTCCAACAGCTTAAGCGTATTTTTGGCTAACTCTTATATCTTAAATGAATCCATTTCTATTAATCTATGCATCCACCACAAGGTCATAGCCTACTGGCAAAGTTTCAGTGGGCTCTAGCGCAGCTACATGGCTTCTCCCTGACTCTGCCTGCTGTCCCTATATATCTTTTCCAGCCTGGCTATATTCTGTTAAGCCATAGGCCAGAAAGCAGCTTCTTTATTAACCAATGGTATTCACAGCATGCAGAGGGGAATCCGACATCAGAGGGGTGTGGGAACATGCCTTCCTCTGGAGAAGTGCTTAAGTGAGCCTGGGAAAGCTGGGCAAGACGAGAATGGGAACTAGAGAAGGACGCCCCACCTAAGAGTGAGAAAGGAGGGCTGAACCTATCTCACAGAACAGCCTCTCAGATATACATTTGGGCTCTGCTAGTCGGCTAGAGACTGAGTTCAAATCCTAGCTCTGTAGTTTCCTGGTGGCAGACCCATTTTTTGCATTAGTGAGATGCGTGCAGCAATAGCATCTACCTTGTGGCATTGTTGCAAAGGATTCATGAGAGAAGAGCACCATGGGAGCAGGACGGTGTCCCCAACAGTGTTGTTATAATACGTGGAAGGTCTGTCAGGCAAGTCGGTGTGACAACGAAGAGGCCAACTGTCACTCACGCCACACACACGACTGTGTTCCCCTTACTACTAATAAAGAGGGAGGATCTACAGTTGGTTGCCAGATCCAAGCTTTTCTCATCGTGGCCACTGACCACAGGCATAAGATCAATCTGGGCATCACTGAGGAAATACAGAATCCTGAGTCCCTCAAGAAACATTGAGTCACTTCTATGCATAGGATTTAGAAATCTGACTCCCCACCCCACTCCCTTTACAAAGGCTAAGGATTAAACCTAGGGCCTTGTGCAGGCTAGGTGGACCCTCTCAGCTATACCCCCACCCTTCTCTCTATCTTTCATTTTGAGATAGTCTCTTCAAATGCCCAGGCAGGCCTGCACCACTGAGTCCAGCCAGAATGGACCAGAGTACAGTTTCTGGAGGGGTAGGGTTGTCATGTCCTTGAATAACCCTCCATAGCAACACAGCCTCCTATGAGGTAGGTATGCCTTTTCAACCTGTCGGCACCACCAGCATTCCTTGAACAAGGTTAGCGAGATGGTCTTGAATGGTGATGTGGACACGCAAACTCTGCCGGTTACATATGGATATATTCTTCAGAAAAGTCAAATCTTTGACTTAACCATAAACTTGCCAGATTAATACACTTTGTTTTAGATTATCCACTCTTCCTGTCTCTACAACAGAGGCTTGCCCAATGTTACCCTCAGACTTAGCTCAGGCAACTCTAAACTTAGTCCTGGTTCAGCAATCTCTTCATGCCTGAGTCTGTTTTTAGCCCCATTTCCTGTATTCTTGAGTCTCACCCACTTCCTGGCTCAGGAAAACTGGGGGCCACAGTGCCTGTGCAGACTGTCTGGTTTCCAAAGGACCTGTCACCCAAAGCTGTCAGTGTGCCCAACTCTTGGATGTTAAGACAGGTGCTGTCATCCACAAAGTTCATAGTCAAGAATCATATATTACATTACAAAAAAGAAATCCCCCCCAAAACCTCCTCATAATGATTTAAGTGAGTTTATAATTTTATTTCATCTATCTATCTATCTATCTATCTATCTATCTATCTATCTATCTATCATCTATCTATCTATTTATTTTGGTTTTTCGAGACAGGGTTTCTCTGTAGCTTTGGAGCCTGTCCTGGAACTAGCTCTTGTAGACCAGGCTGGCCTCGAACTCACAGAGATCCGCCTGCCTCTGCCTCCTGAGATTAAAGGCGTGCACCATCACCACCCATCTGAGTTTATAATTTTGTGTTGGGATGCATTCATGGTTCTTTTGTGGAGTCCATGTGGTCAATCAGCTGCATATAAATCTTCAACTTTGAGACGCTGCCCATGACGCAAGCTAGGGTCTTGCCATATCTAAACAGTGGTTCCAAATTCTAACCTATTCTCTAGGGTCTTCAGATGTTGCTAAATTAATGGTTCCCTAAGCTTCTTGGAAAAAAAAAATTCCTGTCACTAAGTTCCACCTGTCTCTTAGGATGCCTTCCCAGTGAGCACGGACCTGCTGGAGAACCTGGCTGATTCTGCCCCTCCAGCTGTGGGACCACCAGTACACGGCCCCTCTATTGGACCTCAGTCCTGCATCTGAACCAGCCCATGCTTCACTGGGCTGCTGGATAACTTAAAGCTGAGCCCAGTGCCTAAATACAAACAGGATGAGAAACACGGTTGACAAGGACAATAGTTGTTCTGTCTCCAGACTGTCGCAAATGCAAACAAAGTCCCATGCCAAAGCAAAAGTGCCAGAGGGTGGCACTTGGGGCATCCCACCCTCCTCAGCACTCAGTATCACTGGCTGAAAGCTAAGCAGTGTACTAAAGCTGTTGTTACTCATTTGATCTTGCCCTTAGCAAGGTTAGCATTTTGTCACCCTTTTTATAAACGAGGAAGCTGAGAGGCAAGTCACAGCACTAATCAGTGACAGAGTCAGAGTTTGGACCTCCAGCTGCCTTATTGCAGAACTCATACATTTACCCACCTTGTCACACCGTTTTTCTCACGTGTGTGTGTGTGTGCTGTATACATGGTTATCTGTATGTACATGTGTGTGCAGGTAGATGAGTATACATGTATTCATGTGTATGGAAGTCAGAGGTTGACTTTAGGTGTCTTCAATTGCTCTCCACCGTGTGTGTGTATGTGTGTGTTTGTGTGTGTGTGAGAGAGAGAGGGGGTTGTGTTCATTCACGTGTGACTGCAGGATTGCACTTGCTGTGGTGTGCTTGTAGAGGTCAGAGGACAACTTTAGATGTTGGCCCTTCCCTCCCAACTTGTTTGAGATCAGGGTCTCTCTTTGTTGTTCTCAGTGCATATGTGGACTCTCTAGCCCTCAGACTGCTGGTGGTTCTCCTGTTCGTGCTTCTCACCTCACACAGGAGCCCTGATATTAAAGACGTGTGCTGCCACGCCTTTACGTGGGCGCTGGGGGAGGGGACCCAAACTCGGGTCCCTATGCTTGTGTGGCGGTATGTCCACTGAGCCATCTCCCCAGCCCCTACAATGCTTTGTCTCACTGTGATGTAAGAACTAAACCAGCTGCTGTTCCCTACTCTGCCTCTTTGTCTGCTGTCCCTGCAGTCCACTCCCCTAGAGCCAGCTCCTGCCTTCTGCCTTGGGTTAACTTTTCCCAAACCCTGTCACCTGGATACTCAGTGGCTCCCTTCCCTTCTCTGTCTGACTGAGATGGAACCAGTCACCTCTGTTCTGGGACACCTTGGTCATTGATGAAAAACTGCTTGTTTGTGAATCCTTTCTTAAGGAAAAAGATTTACCCGCCTGTAATCTTTGCACAGTGAATAGAGATCGGCTTTATTTAAAACAGGGTATGTCCATGGCATGGATGACTGTGGTCTCCTGTCCTAGCAACTTAAACCAAGGGGAACTGTGTCAGTTAAGCAATGCCTTGACAACAGGCAGAAGTGGGTATACCCTCTGCCCTCCTGGCAGCTGGTACACGGGGTGGCAGGTCCTTGATTGTTTACTTATTAAGAGTCCACAGAATGCATGTCCTCAGAAAGGCTGGCTTCAGCATCTCTCCCCAGGCTGGCTATCCCTTTGCTAGTGTAGACGAAGTGCCCACCTGCCATCACTCCCGAAAAGAGCATCGGCATGGGTGGTGCCACTCATCTGAGACTCAGACCACTTAACCATGTCCTGCTTTCTCAAATCCTTGAAAGAACCAGGCAAGGACATGTAAACACGAAACTTTTTTCTTAACTTTTCATGTATTACTTTTAGTGTTTCATCGGCAAATCTGTGTGTTTATACTTTAAAAGGCAGTGACAACCAGGAGAAAGTGTTCCCGCTTTCTCAGCATAAACTGTGGAACTTGTCTTCCGAGATGCAACTTTTAGAGGGGCCTTTCCTGGGAAGCCTTCAGTGGAGTTTGTGGCTGTGAATCAGAGGCTCCATCAAGCCGCACTGTTCATACAGGCAGCAGTCCTTATGAGGGCAGCCCACTCTTCCTGGCTACCACTGCCCCCAAAGCAAGGTCATTTGTTCTCAGTCGTGTGTGTGTGTGTGTGTGTGTGTGTGTGTGTGTGTACGTGTACACAGGTGTACATGTGCATGCAGAGGCCAGAGGACAACCTCAGGTGTCATCCCTCAAAAGCTGCCACCTTGGGTTTTGCTTGTTTGGTTTTTGGTTCCTGGAGCTCAGTGAGTGGGCTAGACTGGCTCGCTGGCTGGCATGCCCCAGGGATCTACCTGTCTCTGCCTCCCTGGCACTGGGCTTTCAAGCATTTACCCTCTGAACCCAACTGAAAAAATAGCAACAACAAAATCCCCCAAGCCCAAAAGATAATAGTGACTTCTGGAGGCCCAAATCAGGCTTTCAAGATTGCGTTTTGCCAGCTGAGCAACCTTTTTAACATTTTGCCACAGTGCCAAGCCATGGCAGTAACCGGGAGTGAGGGAGCAGGGCAGCCTCTCTTGGGATGCCTGTTTTCCCCCCACTGCAGCATGAGGAGCTAAACCTCCATCCATGACGTCCCCAAAGAAAGGCAAAGCAAAGGTGCTGGTCACCAAAGCAGATAGGAAGAAAGAGAAGAAACAGCGGATGCTAAATAGCCTAAAGAAGGCGTGAAGGCTTACATTCAGCTGAGATATGGGGAACTCTCGGGACTGAGGTGGGAGGTGAGGTCTTTGTAGAATGGCCCTTCACTAAATACCTGAAATTCCTTCACGAGCACCCAGAGGTCTGAGAGTCTCAAGGCCTCCTGTCCATGAGCCTTCCACACTTTGGGTATGTAAAAGTCCCTTGCACACTTTGGGTATGTAAAAGTCCCTTGCACACTTTGGGTATATACAGTCCCCTTGGGGGAGCCTGAGGGAGGAGTCCTGAGATGAGCCTGCGACTGTGAAAGAGGATTAGGAGGTGCTGAGTGGCTCAGGTGCCAGGGAAGGGAGCATCAGCATCCACCCTATGAAACCCTCCAGCTGCTCTCTGAAACGGCCGGCCGATAGAAACCTGAACTTCCCACGGGTTTTCCAAGGCAGCCGAGTTTCTAGGCTGTTGGGTAGAGAGAGCATGACACAGCAAGATAGTGCCAGCCAGATCCACTGTGGCCATGCTTTCGGCTCCCACAGCTCCCAAAGGCTGCATCCAGGGCTTCGGTCTATCTTCTCCCCACCCCCTCTGCTCTTAGCCTGGCGCTGGAGGAATGATGATGATAGGGCAGCCGGGTGTAGGATTACTTCTGCAGTCTCTAACCTGTAAGTGCTATTTTTCCATGTCTGTGCTCTCAGCGGGCCCTTCTTCCAGAGCCGGCTGCACCCCAGTTCAAGCCAGCCATAGGGGAGCCCATCCAAGACACTGGCAGGCATGCTGGCTCCCTACTAACAGTTCAAAACACCTCTCTGTCCCTCGTTTTTTCCCTTTCTACTAACTTTATACACACTCTGGAACAAAACAGCCAGACCCAGCTCTGGATCTAACACACTCCCTAATCCTTACCTGAAGAACCGGCAGGCTGGGGGCTCTCCTCACTCCAGTTGCTCACAAGGGGGTTGGAACTCGCTCGGTGGCCTTTGCTCTGTGTATCAGGGCTCCTGTGCCGAGACTGTCCCTTCAGCCGGCTCTCCGAACCTCAGGATTACTGCAGCTCTGTGTGGGGAGAGGGACGGGCTGTGGCATGCACATCAGGTTGCTGGACCGCCTCCAGACACTATGCCAGTCCCAGAGGGCTGTGTGGGAAGCAGGGAGGTGGGTGGGGGAGCGGAGAGCGCTGGCCTCTAGGTCTGCCTTTGGCCCTCGTTCATCAGCCGGAGGGGCCCCGCCTGCAGACCACCACCCAGCCGCACCTCACCACGTCAGTCCACATGAAGCTCTAAGTGCCCCTAGCTCTTGACGGTCTGCAGCAGACCTGGGGACTGCAGAGATGGCAGACAGTGACAACAACTATCTTGGGTGTTATTTTAGCATGGTTTGTCTCGGGGCAGAAGCCCGAGCCCAGTGTATTACCGTCTGAGCAGAATCCTGTTTATTTTGAAGCCTCTGTCACCAGGGAAACAACTGGTAGTGTTGAAAGACATTCCTCTTAAAACCGGGCGGCTAGCGAAAGGGAGCCCTTTTCTGTCCTGTCATGGGTCCCCACGCATGGTGTAAGTGTCTGTCTGTATGTCTACACCGTTCCCAGAGCCAAGCCCTATCGAGGGCATTCTGTGGAGCTAGGCAAGGAGTGGCCGCCTGGTTAGGGCTAGGGAGGGGCGTCAGGGAGTGTCCCCAGCATTTGTCACCACAGTTCCCATCTATCCTGGCTAGATTAGGGGGTCCTCAGGTGAGCCTGGGTCCTCTTCCGTGAACCATAGATGTCATCTTCATACCACAGAGAAGGAAGGAAGGGAGGCTGCCTCATAATACATATGACTCTGGCTTGAAGGTAGAGAATGAAGTGGACTCAGAAGACATGGATCAAAGAAACCGGCTGGAACCATATGATTAATTGCGGCTGATCATTGACGAAGAGAACCTCCCTTGCACAGGCATTTCAACCCGGGACACATGAGTGAGCATTCATGTGTGTGTGGGCTCCAGCCTGATCACCTGATGGTTCAGATAGTGAGAGGCACGTGGACCTGAGGGAACTGGCAATGTACTCCAAGGTCTCTCTCCCTGATCAATGTAGTCGATCCGGGGTAGTGAATCCAGGGAGGGCAGGATGCGGGGGAGGAGAACAAAGTCTGAATTTGAAACTCACACATTTTGAACACTTACTTGGTCTCTAGCTTGTGGCCCTAGTTTAAAGGCTGCAGAGTCTGTAAGAAGTGGGCCTGGCCGACAGAATGAGGTTGGTAGGAGCAGGTCTTTGACCATTGTACCTACCCCTGCCTCTGGTCTAGCTCTCTCCACTTCCTGGTCCGTACCAGGTGACAGCCACCCCTCTGCCCTCCTGTCACCATGCCTTCCCCACTCCACTCCACTGATGGACTGGAATGTCTCTGAAACCGTTAGCCACCGTGAACCTTTCCTCACACAAGTCGTTTCTGTCGGATATCTTGTTATAGTTAACAGTGGGGGTGGGGAGGGTCTCTTGGCTGAAAGAGCAACCAGGGCCGTTCCTGGGCCTTCAGAATGAGGAGTCCCAAGGAGCTCGGCTCCTGAGGCAAGAGGCTCAGACATGACATGGCTCTGACCACGGGTCTGTCAGAGGGGACTGGTTCTCAGAGAAGCCCTGCAGAGGGATGCCATCACAAATATCAAACCTCGTCTTCCTGGGAAGAGCAGAAAAAATCTAGGCTAGCTAGGTCCCTAACTAGAGGGGAACCTCCTCCAACCCTTCCCACCTCGACACTACGTGTCACACACAGATTTCTGACTGTGACTGAGGGTGCCATGTGCAGCTACCCTCACGTGCAGTGCCCAGCATGGGCCCAGAAATGTTCTTATTCAGGATAATGGGTCACTTGTTGAAATCCAAAGTTTTCGGTGTGGAAATTACACCCTTGAGATTCACTCAGATGAGGGCAGGTGCCAGGCGTTTCTTGTTCAGTCTGTCAAGCCGAGAAAGAAGAATTCATTCTTGCAGGAAATGACAGTGTGCACATTTTGGATTCTGCAGGTTTGATTCAGGAAGCCACAAGCGTTTAACCTAAAGTTTGGTGTTTATGGCGGTCTGGATGGGATGTCCCCCATAGTCTCTGGCATTTGGATACTTGCTTGCCCGTTGGTGGTGCTATTTGCTTAGGCTTAGGCAATGTGGCCTTGCTGAATGAAGGATGTTGCTAAGGGTGGACTTTGAGGGTTCAAAAGCCACATATCCCTGGTTGTCTTGCTCTGTGCTTCCTGCTTGAGGTTTCAGAAGTGAGTGCTCAGTCTGCTGCCCCAGCTGCTGCCCTGCCTGCCTGCTGCCCCAGCTGCTGCCCTGCCTGCCTGCTGCCCCAGCTGCTGCCCTGCCTGCCTGCTGCCCCGGCTGCTGCCCTGCCCGCCTGCTGCCCTGGCTGCTGCCAACATGCTTTCCTGCCATGGTGGTGATGAGCTCTCATCCCTCTGTAAGCCTGAATAATCTCTTCCTTTTATAAGTTGCCTTGGTCATGGTGATTTATCATAGCAATAGAAAAACAGTACAATGTCAATGCAGTAAGTGTGTGTCTGAACAGGGACAGGTCAGCATGCAGGTGGGTCTGATCTGAGAACTGTGCAGCTGTGGAACGAAGCCACCTCGTGGAAAATCTTTGGGATATTGTAATGATGCGCTCAAAGACCCTTTCTGAACAAAAGACACAGACCCAGCGTTCCGCCCAGAGTCACTGTGTGACTAGCCCTCTCTCTCTCCCTGGTTTAGTCTAACACTCACTAACCTGAGCACGCTATGTTCTTGGCCACTCCTGGACAGCTAAGCTCTTCCAGGCTCCTTCTTTCCTAAGGACCTCAATAAGATTTCCAACTTACGGCCTCCCTGCAAACTTCAGAGCACCGTGGCAATCAAATGCTAGCATGCTCAACTTGAAGGTACAAGTAGAAGCTGTTATCTAATTTCTCCATTGTATCCACTATCACACACCTCACAATGCAATCCCTAATGACTGGCGTGTGCTAATTTCTGTGCTGTAGTAAGTGTTTAGCAATATTATGGTCCAAATCCTGCAAAAAGGACCTTCAGTTCTTTAAGATACATTTATAATATAGTTCTCTTAATGATGACATTTAATTTTTTGCATTTAGCATTCATTTCTCAATTTAAATGTTTATTTCAGCATGTGTAAAGGATCTATACCTGTCTTGGAAACAATATGCATGGAGTTTTTAAAATCCTGAGTGATGTCTCTTGGCCCAACTGTTACCTGGAGTGGGAAGAGACTGTGAGATTACCCAGGAGGAAAGTCTGGCCCTAGAATAGACCTGAGTCCTACACCAGGAAATCGTCTGGGGAAAAATAGCTCTGAAAGCCACTTATTAAGCACCCACGATTCTCTAGGTCCTTCTGTGTGTGACAGAAATCATATCTTCTCTCCACCTTCTTCAGCCACTTTAAAACCCTCCTCTGTCACAATAAGACCTTTTGCAGAAACCACATGCCACCGTGGAGGCGTGGCCTGAGGAAAACAGAAAACAATAGATCTTTGAGGACAGACCAAACTCCTAGTGGGGTTATCCTCAGAGATGCAAGCTTGTTCAGAATTATCTAAGGCTAAAGTGCTGGGGCTGTTAACGGAGGTGGCATCCTTCTTCCAAATCTTGAGAGCCAGACTTGGCCAGCACTCAGGCAGCTGCTTCTACAGAAACTGGCTCCAGACTCTTAGGGAGAGCTCTAGAATAGTGGTTCTCAATGGGACCAGGCACCCCCTTTTGTAAGCCACTAATGCTGCCACCTTTTAATACAGTTAAAAGTCATGTTGTGGTGACCCCCAACTATAAAGTTATTTTTGTTATTACTTCATAACTGTAATATTGTTACTGTTCAGATTCAGACGATAAATATCTGTGTTTTCTGAAAGTCTTAGGCGACTATGTGAAAGGGTTGTTTGACCCCCCCAAAGGGGTCGCTACCCACAGGTTGAGAACCACTGCTTTAGAAGGTCCATAAAAGTAGAGGACAGCATTTATTTTCTTCCTCTCTTCTCCCCCAACCCCCAACCAATTTTATGTTCAGTGCTTCTGAACAGCAGACTCGGCACCCTCACTCGGGTGGTGTGAAAGAAACACCCATGCCGCATCAGTTGGCAAGCTTTAGAAGGTTGCCAGGAAGCACACTTTCTTCCTCTCAGGCAGAGCAGCCGCCCTGGCATCTTCTCCTGGACTCTTAAGGATGACATTTCAGAGTGGCCTCGGCCTTTCTCCCTCCCTCATCCTGTTCAAATCAGAGAAGCCGCTCCCGAGAGGCTCTGTCAGACTCATGGCATTTTCTTCGTAATCTCATTTTGACCTTGTTCAGGGCCCAACAAATCCTAATCAGCTGACAGGCGGAATCAGATGCTGAGTGCGGCTCTGCAGCCAGCATTTCCGCCTGATTATGCCCGACCGGGGCCACTCAGCAAGGGCATCCTGGCCACCTGGTGAGTCAGCTGCCAAGTGGACAGGGAAGCACAGCAGACATTCTCAAGAAACTGCATTAGTTACCCGAGGCAACCTCAAGGACAGACTCATCAGCAGAGCTGGAGGGTACACCGGGGACAGTAGCTCACAGAAAGGGGTGCCTGGCCCTGCCTCACTGTTAGCCAATTTTTTTTTCCAGCAGCTATAGGCGGGACACTTGAAAAGGGCCCCTCGCACAAGTGAGCTGCTTCAGCTCCGTTAGGACCCCCACCCCCACCCAGTGCTTCCTCTAGTTTCTTTTTCTTTTTTTTTTTTTTTTGGAGGCAAGGTCCCCTGTATCCCAGGCTGGCCTCGGACTCCTGTGTAAGCTAAGAATGATCTTGACCTCCTGACCCACCTGCCTATACCTTCCGAGTGCTGGGATTACAAACACATAGGCCATTACATCCAGCTTCTGGGGTGCCGGGGAGCCAACCTAAGGCCTTTAGCATGTTTTGATACAAAATTCCACTCGTTTCTTTGGGCTGGTTTTGAACTCAGTGTAGACAGTCTTTCAGCTTTGTCATCCTACTAGCCGAGAACTACGGGTCCGCTGTACTGCCAAATCCAGCCTGTGTGATTACTCTCGGTAT